GTGTCCTCGCTCCCCAGGGCCCCCCACCATCCTTCCTCTGCCCCACGCTGCCGCCCCCTGAATGTCTTTCCCCGTTGCCCATCTTTGCTGAGGAAGAAACGTGTGCCTCCTGTACCAAGCCGCTGGCATCCTTCTCTTCTGCTGCTTCGTAGTCATCTGATTGGTGGCATTGCCTATACGTTACACTGCCATCGCCGCTCCTCCGCCCCTGCATCAGCTCCCTTTGCGTACCCTGTCTGCACGGAGACGGTGTAGAAAGGGGAAACCTATTTCTTTGAATCCAGGAGCCTTGGGATTTGTAAATTAAGTAGTCGAGATGCCTTACCATACTTAAAGAAGTGAATTGACTTGATTGCCTTTTAGGGCGTTTATAATCTTATAAGCATATACCATCATTAGGACTTACTTCATGCGTTCTTTTGCCTTCTTGCGTTAACAGTCTTACTGCTGTAGGGAAGAGTGTTAGTGTCCAGTTGTCGCTGCTGTCTTATGGAATGTCAGAAAAAGAAACATATATTTGTAAGATAATCCAAATGAAAGCAAAATTAAGCATCAGTTCTAGTTTCTATTATTATTTTTTTATCTTAATAATTAATTCATATTGTATTTTGAAAGCATAGTAGTAGGAATTTTTTCAGTGATACTTTTGTAATTGGCTACTTTTAGGCTACATATAAGTCATTTTACTAATTAAGAATGTTGAAAATAGCAACTTCTTTTCAGTTTTCTTTCTAACTAAACCATCTACTCTTAAATCCAGTGGGAGAGTCTGATAAGATGAAAATGCTCATCTTATCTATGTGCGTGCTGAACTATAGAATTGGCTATTTATAGTGTGTGTTTCCTCCAAGCACATTTTAAATTTTGCTAGAAACTAATTCTTCTTGTGACCATCTACTGTGAAACAGTGATAAAATCCAAGAAATAATATGGTTATTATAATATTAAAGAGCATTATTTTAATATTCTCAATGCTCTTGCAAACACTTTGGCTACTAAGAGGAAGAAGGACAAAGTAATGGTGGTTGTCCATGGGGATGTAAGTTGTGAAGAAGAAAAGAAAGGAGCCTGGGGGGGTTTGTGTTAAGTGGTAGGGAAATAACAGTTACCTGGATGCTAGGACTTGGTGCCAGTTATTTAGGTGAGAAACAGTGTCTGACTGAAACATGCGACCAAGGACATTGGATTTGTTTTGCATACATATTCTATATCTGCAGTATATAGTTACCTGTATACTAAACCAATGTAAGTAAATGTAAAATGACTCAATGGGACAGTAAGTCAAAAGAATTCAATAGAGGAGTATCCATTAATGTGAAGTCATTGCCTTTGAGTACAAACTATTCAATTTGACTTTGAAATTCAGTGTTCCTGCATCAGGTAGTTGGTTGCCTGCAGGCTGCATGAAAACATTTTGTTCCTCGACCAGCAGTAGCTTTAGGATCAGTGGTGATTTAGAAAGCCACAATGGGCTTCTTTTTAAGGAAACAACCAAAACGGAACTGAACAGTTCTCCCCCAAGTAGCATACAGCTCCCATACTATCTTGGTTCAAACCGCAAGTCTCAGTCAACCAGGTAACTGGCTGAGTGAGAGACTGGTGTGAGTCCTCAGTTTCTTCTCCCCACAGTAACTCCACACTCTGAAGACTTGCACAGGAAAGGTATTATCTTACTGTGGCATTATTGCCTTTAAATGGTCATATAGCGCAATAGTGGTGACATAAACATAACAGCTAGTACTGTGCTTATTGTTTTTTTATTACTATATTTCTCCAGACATCAAGATAAGTAGATGGGTGTGCTATGGATCTTAGAACTAATTTTATCTTTTATATGCTTTTGTTATTTTCTTATTTGGCATTGCACAGAAAATAGTATTATGGCAATTACATACTGAAATTAAAAAAGCACAACCTCCTTATTTAATGGATTTTAATTTTTCCCCTTGTTAGAAAGGAATACTGTTCTAGGAAGAGGTTGGGTACTGTATTATTGCTTTAACATAGTAGCACCCAAACTTTTTAGTAGAGAATGTGCAAAACTGCAAACCAAAAGTCTTCCATTTAAAAATAGTGCAGTAGTTTTGAATTATTCCTGCAAATACAATTTGAAACACCATTGAAACTCTTCTGTAACAAAACCAGTCTGTTTTTTTGGCAGTGACATTACTAATTCACTACCTGCATTGGTTACCAAATGTTAAAAACACATGGAAAGCATTATGAAACTTCACATTTAGAAATAGTTCAGAGATTTGATGTGCTCCTTGTGATCATCTTCACAGGTAAATATTGAATGTTTTCCGTGTAGGGTCATATAAAGAGAAAAGAGTTTTATTGTAAGTTTGGGACAGAAAGATATTGTTAGACAAAAAAATGTAACCGTGGACTCAAGTGGGAAGAAAAACAGAATTAAAAATAAGAGAAGATAAGCTTGTGAAGATGTACAT